AGTTTATCTATAAATATACTAAAAATATTATTGATATCAATTTATTAGTAATATTAAAATATTAATAATATATAAATTTTATTTATTTAGTAATAATAAATATATATCATTTGATATATTAACAAAAATTATAATATACGTTAGTTTAAAGAAGCAAACAATTGTATAATTTTAAAACATTATATATATATATATAAATTAAAAATTTCAAATGATTAAATTTTTAATGAGAAAGACTAAAATCGCATAATTATGATATTTGATGGACTAAAAATGTTCAATTAAAAATCGAAGGACTAAAATCACACAATTGCAATCTTTTAAGGACTAAAATTACTCAATTAAAACCTTGGAAACCAAAATTACACAATTGTTATACTTGAGAGATAAAAAATGCAATTAAGCCTATATTTTTTTAATTTTTGTCTATTAAATGTTCCTAAACAATTAAATCTTTCATACGCAATACTATTTAATAAATTTCAAAGCATTAAATTTTATAAAACAAAATAATAAGACATTCACCACAAATGTTACACTACATGTATATAACCTTCCATTTAATTGAATTGTTTTGCTTTTCTTATGTAATTATTCCTTTTAAAATTATTATTAGTGTGACACCCTTTACCCCAACATTAATACACAATAAGTGTAAATAATAATTATTTTTTTTTTAGTAAATAAAATCTTTCATAGTTGACAACATCTTTCATAAATAAAATAATTGTCTCAAATATCATAAGGTAGAAGATTCACATTCATAACTCATAAATCATAAAAAAGTCAACATGTAAGTATCAAAACTCAAGAAATCTTATAAAGGAAAATATACATTAATTCCAGCAAAGGTGGTAGTGCCTCCTAGTTAGAAATTAATTTATAACTTCCAAATCATGTAATAAAAATAATATGACAAAGATGCATATTTTGGTCTTTTATCAAGAACGTTCAAATTACAAAAGAAAAGAAAACTAAGACTTTTAAAACAATAACATCCTAAACTAAGCCTAGTTATGCCCGATGTCACATCCTATCAGAGCATGCCCAACTGAAACCTTAAGCCTCATCACCAACATCCTCATAATGATGATCACCTACAACATAATTTAAACATATACAAGAACAACAAGGGAGTGAGAAACATCTCACTCAGTTTCAGGTGCAGAAATAAAGGTTAGATTTAGATAGTACACACACAACAAATATAAGTAAACAATACACATACATAATCAATATCACATATACACTCATTTATCATGCAATGATGTCATGAACTCGACTCATAAATGCATGCATGTGGCGCCATACAAAAGTTTCACATTTCTCACAGCTTGTTACATCACTGGTGACCCTAAGGTACACCTTGTTAGCATGTTACGTCATGGGTGACCCTAAGGTACACCTTGTTAGCATGTTATGTCATGGGTGACCCTAAGGTACACCTTGTTAGCATGTTACATCACTGGTGACCCTAAGGTACACCTTGTTAGCATGTTACGTCGTGGGTGACCCTAAGGTACACCTAAAATATCTCATTACATCATTGATATGCAGCATAAGCGGCACACCTGGAGTTATATGTGCATATGATGCATGTCATACATTCATTATTTCATTGACTCAACATTTGATTTATTACAGAATTTTATTTAGTACACCATGTCATCATTTTTCATATTCTCATAATAACAGCTTGTCTCAATAGTCCATTCTTATGTCTCATGTCATTTGTGCATATTTCACATAGTCATGTCATAATTATTCCTCATAAGGTCCGCATAGAAATCCACAGAGATCATTCTTATTTATATTAAAACTTATTTATTTTTAAAATTAATAACATATTCATTTATTACTTCCAACAAGGAACAAAGTAGAGCAAACAGAAAATAAAATAGAACATATTAATATTTTGCATGTTCCTAGAAGCATGCAACAAGCAAGGGATTAGGGGCCAATCCGATAATTAGACTATTTAACAATTATTCCCACACCCCCGAGCGAGGTTTCTCACTCCCCGCTTACCTGGATAAGCAGGAGCTGAAACCAGAGCAGAACCTTGCTAATCTCCTCCTCTGGATTCCTTTTTTTTTTCTCTCTCTCTCTAAGATTTTACCTTTGGTCAGTTATAATTTTTCACAGCCCCTCCCTCCTATTTATAGGCATTCAGGGGTACCCAAAACGGCCCGTTCTGGAGCCATTCGTTATAGGCAAAATTTTACAACTGGAACGACCCGTTCTAAAATCAGAACAGCCCGTTTTCAAAAATTAGAATGACCCGTTCTAAAATCAGAACGACCCGTTCTGAGGTTCATGTTAACACTTATTGACCATAGTTGAAACGACCCGTTTCCAACTGAGATTTTTAGGCAATTTTAGAATCTTGGAATGGCCCGTTTCACTTTAGAAACGACTCGTTCTGGAATAACTCAAATGGGTCTTTTTACTAATTTAGAACGGCCTGTTCCACTTTTGGAACGACCCGTTCTGCTACTTCAAAAATAATTTACTTTCATTGTTTGGAACGGCTTGTTCCACTTTTTGGAACAGCCCGTTCTGGCCTAAAAAAAATAGAGTTTTATATAAAATTTTTCATAAATAATTTAAATTATTACAAACTTTTACAATATTCGATAAAAACCCCTTTAATTAACTAAGACAACTATAAGAAAATAATCTTCATAAATATAAAAATAAATAATAATTAATATTGTATTAATAGAAAATTCGGGGTGTTATAATTAATATTTATTTTTTTTACTAAAATTACGAAATTAGACATTAAAATCATATTTTCATTATTATAAGATGAGTGTCAAAAATGGAACATATCATTGATATGTATATGTTAGGTGTAAGAAATAATACAAATTGACAAAGTATATTTATAAAATACATATTAAATGAAATACAATTGTCTTACTAAAACATTTAAGACAACCTCCCACTAAAAAACAATCTAAGCCTCTATGGTCTCTTTCGACGAAAAAATTATTAAATAGTTTAGAATTATTATATTTCATGGCCTTAATTAATTTAATATAATATATATTTAAGTTTTTCTAGTTTATATAAAAAAATTAATAATATTTATCAAGAACTCCAATTTAGATTTTAGAAATATATTTATGTTTATCGAGTCAAGTCCAATATTTAAGGGTAAGAACTAAATGAGTTTTTTTTTGTAACATTGATATATATATATATATATAAAGGAGTTCAAACGACACCGGTGTAACTTTAATTAAGTATTACACTGCTTAATATCTTTATATTAAATGTGAATTTTATAAATTTAACCGTTTGATTGAAAATTCTTTACTCTTAAATCATACATACAAAATTTTATATTAATCTAAGATTATATAAAAAAAAAATAATATATATATATATATATATATATATATATATTGGATAGGTCATTCAATCACCAGAAATCTTCAGAAACAAGATCCCTTGACACCTTCGATAGCCCATCACTTCGATACCTTCAATAGCCGAATGAATCATATACAGTAGTTGAACCTTTTGGGATCACTTGACTGAGATCCTTAAAGTATCCCTTCAACACCCTTGACAGTCAAAAGGATCATGCAACCCTTTGGGACATTCGGCAATCGAAAGGATTGGAGATGAATCAACCCTTTTGGAAGCCACAAAGATCGAATGACATGTAAAACCCCTATAGTATGATAACTAATGTGATTAAGGCTTAATCATTGGTACGAAATTAACTATCGAATTATTACCTAATTGGTATCCCTGACTTATGGTCCATTGAGAGTTGGGTCCATTATGATATGTATAAATAGTTTGTATCTCGAGATAAAGTTATTATTCATGATTCACATTTGTTACACTAAGTAAGTAACTTAGCCTCAAACTGCCTTTTATAGGTGCATCTCCCTTGACATGGATAAGCAATCGGCTCAAAAAGTGAAGAGAAGTAAAAACATAACAAGGAATAAAGAGAAGTATATTATTATAGGTACAATATATTTTTGGTAACATATTTAAATGAGCTTAATATATGTTTGATCAACAGAAATTATATTTCATAAATGTATATCAACCTTTAATTATTAATTTTATAACATGGTATAAATTATGTTCATAGAAAGAAAAAAAAAGGTTTAATATCCTTTATGATAATGTGATCCATTTATTTAAATTAAGAATGATAAATATTTCCACTTGACTTTAGCACTTTTTAATGGATAATTTGTTGCTTTGTAAATAGTTGGCTAGTGATCGAGAGGAATTTCATGTTCCAAACATATACAGTTGTACGCGTGGTTTCGTGAGATCAAATGAGAATACTCTAAAAATATGTGTTCAAGGGATTGATATGCAAATTATGTACAACTGGTTTATTTTTAAGTACTCTAAACGCAATTAATTAAATTTCTGCACAATCAATTTTATAATCTTACTACTTATCCAAATAATAATGAACAAAATCATAAAACATGCACAAATATTTCTTTAATTTTCTACCATTAAGATCAATCAAACAATAAAAGCCCACGCCCACCCGATCTTCTCAAAAGTCAAAATCATCTTGATTAGGCTTTGGTGAGGTCAACAACGCTGTGTAGAGTCTTAACCTATCCTCTCCCAAGGAAGAGGACCGCGACAAGGGCCTCCTAGGCCTTATGAAGGACAAGGAAGTCAAAGTCAACCTGTGCTTGTACCTCCTCCATGCCAATTGAATGGCCACAGCAGCCCAAGTTCTCCACCCCGGAGAATAATACCTATTGGGATAAAATTAGTCACATCCTTAGAATAAAAAGATAAATAAAAGTTTAACAAATATATAAGAAAAAATTCATTTACTCTAAGAGTAAGTTTATCTAAACTTATTTCATTTAATAACTCATCTTCTATAATAAATTTCAACGATCCAATTATTGAATTTAATATTTTTTATATACAGATTAAATATGCAATTTTTTTTTTAAATTTTGAAGATTATTTGTTATTTCATTTTATTAATTCAAATTGACGGATAATTATAAAAACATATTATCTGTCAATTTGAACTAATAAAATGAAGTATCAAATGATTTTCAAATTTTTTAAAATTTTACAAATTTGATCTATTCATTAAGAAATTTAATTAAATTCAATGGTTGAATCGTTAAAATTTGAAATAGAGGATGAATTATTGAACGGAGTGAGTCTAGGTAGACTTACTCCTAAAGGAAACAGATCCCTCCTCAATATATATACACACACTTATATACTTTATTAATTTGAGATTGTTTAGATTATGATCAAAAACAAAATTACAAGAGTTTAAGTTTAAACTGAATAATATGATACTAATGTGAAGACGTGTACAAATATACTAATAATAAGATGAGGATCTACTTATTGCAAGAGTAAGTAATTGTATATTTATTATATTATAACTTATATTTTATATCAAATTTCACTACAAGAAATATTATATATAGTGACATACAAAAAGTGTCACTATAAATGAAACATATGTACTTATAAATCTATTTAATACATATTTATACATAATTTTAGTGTTGATTTTAAATAAAATTTAATAACATATATTGTGTGTCATCACTATAAATTATATCTACACTTTTTAAAAATGTACCAACATGCATGTACTGTATATATAGTATAGGTAAAAATAATTTTTAGTAATAAGCATTATATATGTTAAATTAAATTTTTTTAATATATAGATTAAATTTATAAATTTTTAAAATATTTAAAAACTTTTTAAAAATTTATTTTATTAATTCAAATTAACGGATAATCATCAAAATATTATACGTTAATATGAATTGTACAAGAAAGAATCATATGTTTTATAATTTTTTTTAAAAATTATAAACTTAATCTATATATTAAAAATTTTTAATTTAAAAATTAGATCGTTAAAATTTAATATAAAATATGAATTATTAAGTCAATGAGTCTCCTAATACTTAGAGGGCTAAGTAGATCCTCAAATATCAAACCAAAATAAAAATATATCTCAGCAAACAAAACTCAATAACACTTTCAATACCTTGCACTTCTCTTGACCTTTTCCTTCACGAACGTGTACCTGAAATGTTGTGTCACATATTTCACGTCCTCGGCTTCAAGGCCAAATGCCTCTGTGGTTTCCAACGTGATGAGTGTGGATGAAGACGGTGGAAGACGCTCTATGAATGGTCTTCTTAGACACCATGAGAGGAGTTCGTCCCCACTGAAGTTTCCTGGACCTAACATGCAGCAACTCTTCACACCGTCCCTTAGGACTTGACTGCTTTGAAGGTGACCCCTTACTACAAACAGCATTCTCTGAACTGGGTCTCCTTCTCTTGCTATCTACGTAAATCATGTTTGTAATCATTGTCTTATGTTTAATAAAGGTGATTTCAATGCTTTGTGCAAAATGTGATGTTACTATATATAGAAAATTGTTAGAAGTATGTACCGTTTCTCCCTTTGTGAATATCAGAGACTTCACACGATCACATATGTTCTCTAGAACCAGTTCATCCATGTGTTGGAATAGTGGCACCTGAACAAAATATGAGGGCATTACTCGTTTAAAAAAAAAATAATAAAAATGGTTTTCTAAAAATTAAACAAAAAGTTATTATTTATTTTTAAAGTTAAACTAAATATGAGGTCATTTGGTTTGGTCCGATTGAATAAATTTGGTCGACATTAATCATATTATATAGTAATCCATGTGATTTTTCTCAATAATTCTGAAGCAAATTTCTTACCTGTCTCACCAAGTCTAAACAAAGATGGTACTTAATGTCTCTTCTCAATCCTTCAGGGAGATTTCTGGTCATCTCGCATTCATCAACTCCACGCATTGCAGCCCAACGCTGCCTCTCATAGTTACGCACTCGCTGCCGAAACCCTTGCGGCAAACGCCGTTTCCTCATCCACCATTCAATGTTCCTCATCTTCAATTGCATTGCTTGCTTCTTTGAGGTCGTTGCATGCAAAAATACCTACCCCCAAAATGTGAAAACAATTTCTTAACAAATATATATTTTAAGTCTATTTAGATCCATGCAAATTCAAAAAGAATTTTATGAGAGTCATATATGTTGATTAAATATTATTTTAATAAATATAGGTCGACTTTTATGTTACATAATAGACCTTATAACCACCGAACTCAAAGGTGTTTCATATTATTTGACGTGTCTAGTTGTGTTTAATTACCTTGATGTTTCCAATCAACATAGTGACGAGAAGAAGGCCACTGGTCAGCACAATGATGTTGAAAACTACTTCTAGCCATTCAGTTGTACTCTCTAGGTTCCCGAAAGTGCTTATCACATCAGAAACAGATAGTTTTAGAGTAGGAATGAAGCAAAGGATAAACATCAAAGTGGAAATAATAGTTGTTAATGTTAGGTAAAATATTCATGCTGTCGAAATGCATCATATGTACATGCACAACATGCCTAGCTTGCATGTTATTTTTGTCCAGGAATTGAATGATTGGATACTAGTAATTAATTTGCTACGTACATCCTTCCGTATGTCGTTTCTTTCTTTCTTGCTCCCTCTTTTTCACATTAATTTGTTGATCATAGCATAAATATGTTTAAAGACAACATATCTCTCAAAGAGAGAGAAAACATTTCAAAAGACGAAAGGGATATATTAGTTACACACGTATAAGATACAAGAAACTTATAGAACAATTTAAAGAAATAAAAAAAATATCCATAAAGTATTAAAAATCCTACATCAAAAATATAATATATTAGTGTAGAAAAATCTATAAGTCAGTTTTTTAAGTTTGATGTCTGTTATAATCATGCTTTTAAGAATATTTTTTTTAAGTGTATAAGTTTAAATTAGGGAAAAAAACACAATCTCATGCAAATACTAATTAGATTAGATTGTATTACATATGAAAATTTCACATTTAATTTAGTTGAGAGTCCGTTATTATTATTAGCATACTCTATGCTTATACAGATCATATGTCTTTAAATTAATAGTTACGACAAAAATTTAGCTAAATATGTCCATCAAAGACTTAAGTATTAATCTTATACAGGGATACATATTACTTTTAATCAGTGGACTAGATCCAAAGTACATTACATAATTTTGCCGTCAAGCCTATGGAAATATGAAGTGTGATCATCACTATGCAAAGAAATGACCCACAAAATGGTGGTATAAACCCGACAAATAAAACCATGAAAAGAATAGAAAAGTTTAAATAAAGGGAAGAGAAAATGAGTTTACCTAAGAGTCATTAGGCCCCAGAAGATAGGGAAAAGTATCTTCTCCAATCGATTATCATTAGTGACAAGCTGAACCGTCCATTTATAAGCTCCATAGTTGTAGTTGTCAGGACCATTTAAGCACGTGAGCCTCACGTTCCTGTTCTCTGCCCAAGCCAATCTTGCTTTATCCCTAACTAACAAACTATTGCTTCCATAGTATATAGGTGTTTGACAAGACAGAATCTTCATGCCACAACCACTTGTTTTCCCACACTCTTCTTTCAGACACTGCCCTGCCCTTTGGATCCCCAGCAAGTACCAACATGCACCTGCTGCCTGTACATTTGTGCATGATTAAACAACACTTTTCCCTCACTAATTGCACCCATGTTAACATTCACTCCAAAACTGGGTGGACTGGGATAGGTAGAAAAGAGAAATATAAAGAAAATAGATATGAAAACAAGATGGAAGAGAATATGAGATAATGTTTATATTTTGTTTCTCAAAGTAAAATTACAGCTATGTTAAAGTTTATAGATTAACATTTAACCATATCATTTATCGGAAATAATCTTATTCGAGTCCATAAATATTTAATATAATTACACTTCTAATTAATTTTGAGATAATTAATTAAGCTAAAATAGTTTCTTGTCGGTTGTTGATCTGTGTACTCGATAGTTTAGAGTTCATTTATTTGTGTTTTCATTTTCTATTTATACTTTCAATTACAAAATTATCACTTTGTTTTCAATTTATTTTCTATTTTAAAATATGTGTAAATGAAACAGAAAAACAAAAAAAAAATCATGGTTTTATATACAAATATTTGAAAGTAAGAAACAAATAAAAATAAGGTAATGATTTTATAATTATAAAATAAAAATACAAGTAAACAGATCCTTAATGATCGACAACAATATGGTTTTGAACTATAAAATAATACCAACTTATTTAGTATTGCCCTAGTGAACCCAAATCCAAGGCCTCATTTCATTTCCAAAACCTTTAAATTAAATGACTTATTAGTACTTGTTTGTTTCAGTTTATATTTAAATTAATAAATGATATTTTTTTGTCAATTGTTTGAAAGAAAAAAAAAATTGTTAGATTGCGTTTTCAATTCCCAAATATGAAACATAAGCTTAAACTAAATAAACAAGTTGTTAATTTGTTGAAATCTGAGTGTTCATGAATGGGGTATTAGAATTCATTTGATTATAATTAAAAAAAACAAACAAACAAACAAACTTTCTAGCAAGTCATCATTTAAGAAACACGTACAATTGTAAATATAGATACTTGATTTTAAATTTAGAATATCACTATTAAAAATCAGTGAATTAGTAATCAAATTTAGCGACGATTTTTTTTTTTTGGATAATTTTGAGATCACCAAATTTTAGAGACAGATATTTTGTTTTGAAAGGAGGATGAGACAGATTTTTTAAAATACAAATAAATTATGTTGTTACTATTTTTTTTTTTCATTTTTCTAGTAGTGTTTAGAAAGACTTGTAAAAATTTATCTTGTTTGCTTTGTTATAATTAAGTTGTAATTGTTAAACGTCACTAGAGAATTACTTTTGATACTTTTCTTGAAACGAAAAAAGTAAGATTGTCTTCGTGGTGACATTTTAAACACGTATATAGTTAAATATGGTTTGTTTCACTACTCATTTCATGGCCACGAAATAAGACATGAGAATAAAACAAGACTGTAAATTTCTCCAACACCACAAGCATTACGATATGTACTTCTTTGTCTCATACCACTTTTTTGGTTTTTTTCTACGTCAAAACGACTCTCTTGTGACTTAATTAGATAAGCTTTACCCTCATTATTCTTTTTGTCATCTTTGGTCTCTTGAAAATTAAAATTAATGTGTAACTCATATCAGACAAATTAACTTTAATATTAAGTGATTAAAATAATTCCTTTCTTAAAAGTTCGCTTAAAACAAAAAGTGAGATTAGCTTTGTGACAATATTTTAACATATACGTGGATCAAAAGTCAAAAGTATTAGTCTCATGATTAGGAAATCAAAAAGGAGAAAAACCTAGGTACTTTCCACTACCGCGTGGAACACGATCGACCTACTATGATTTTTTAGTATATTTTGATTTGTGTCTTATTCGTAAATCTTGTGGATCCTATTGTTATGGAACTTTTTTAACAGCCACCTTTTGCAAAGCAACTAATTAAGAATTATTGTAACCCTCTATCTGGTTTCTCATCATGTTTTGCACTTATTCTTGTTCTAGACATGGTTAAATGTGAGTAACACTCTCCTAATTAAAGAAGATTCAAATATTAATCCGTCATAATTTTACCAATAAAGACTAGTCTACTCTTTCCACCATACTCAACTTTTATTGATATCATTGTAGCCTTTAACGTACATTCTATTATATGTCAGCCCATTACATGTGAACGTTCACGTGCACTTTGTAGATAAGTTTTTTAGCTATGGTTTCCCTTTATCAAAGGAAAACATAATCCAACAGTATTAAATTATATATTATATTTGACCATTAGTTATATATTATCTTCTTTTTTACATCAATAAACCTCCTTTTGATTCAATTATCCCTTTATTCTTCTTTTTTCTCCATAATCATAGCTTTATTGATATTAATCCAAAATTTTGGACAGTTTAATGATATTAAAAAGTGTAAGGGAAGAAGATTATATGTTGATCATGTTGATTTTAGAAGGCAAGTTCAAAATGCATGAAGTCAATTAAAAACTAAGAGTGAAAAGCAAGGTGTGATCACTTACATGGGAAGCAACAAAATATGCGATCATGTTAAGGGCGATTCCCCACCATACTGTTCCAAAAATGTAGCCAGAGAGGTTTTGCGTCCGTCGAAGATGGCACACAGAATGAAAAATTTTGGGAAGGTATTGGAAGAGAAATATAATTAAGAACACTGTCATCACCAACATAACTGAACCTTTCTCCAACAAGGAGGGGATTGCCACCCAAAGCACAATCTGAAAACCATATAAATTTTTAAATTCCTCATTCAATATAATCAAATCCAAATTAAGCTAGGTTTTATATATCCATAAATAATATATAAATTTAATGATAATACATCGATCATTTCCTTTTAAAACAAAATATTATGGTCATGACAACTTGAATGGTACACAATCCCTCAAACTAAAGAATATTCTCCAAATTGAATAATTGCCGATCAACCATTGGGTCGATGGTGTGACGCCTCGAGCAGTACAGTCCTCAATTTTCTAACCACCGTTTTAAAGGTTTCGATCGAGTCTATCACTACTTGAATCATTTCAATTCTTTTTTGGTTGTTTCTCATTTAATGCCATAGTCCATAGATATATATATATATATATATTTTAATTATTTTTATGTTTAGCAATACTTTTCCCTGGCCCTCCTCCTTTTTTCTCCTCATGTATAGGTAAGTTCTTAAAAAAATTAAGATCAAACATTGAATAATGAACAAAAGCCAAATGACATATATATGTACCATGTTATCAGAGTTGCAATACTTATGACCACCAATGAATTGCTCCGAACAAAACATGCAATCTTGTACAGATTTTTAGGGGACCACGCTATGCATATACATGCCATATGAAATTCTGATCAGACAAGAATCAAATTGGCTGCATCTAAAACTGTGGCTCCCATCATGGTTTGATGTAACAGACTGCAACATGTTTTGCTGTTCCTTGTTTTCTTTTTCAATGTAATTTCAAACAACAAGCAACGCATGTTATGCAGATCAGAACATATCATATAAGTGCCGTGTGTTAGCTTCTAATAATAATGACAAAATCCTCTCTTCAAATTTTCCTTTGCTACAGTGCAAACAACTAAAATGGAAAATGAAAACACATTCACAATTCAAAAGTTTGACACAAAAATAAAAACATCGACTTTTTTTTCTGGGGTAGCTTCTTCAGGAACACGTGACTTAGGCTCATGTAGTGTTCCTTGTTAGCTAGGTAGGTATCAAGGCTATTGTATTTTATTTTTATGTTTAGTTAGGATGCTATCAATATCATACTATTTAAATATAAGTTTAAAAACGTTTTTCAGAAAATACTCTTTATTTTTTATAAACACATTCTCAAAAGACTTCTAATTTCATCTAAACAGACTCATATAATTCAAAGTTTGTGAGTCATGGAAATCATGATAAGGACTCCTCAACTTTCCAAAGTAAAAATAAGCATATATAAATGAATGATTATGTAACAAAATATATGTTTTAAAAAAAATGAGGGAAAAGTTAAAAAATCAGATATATACATATTTATCAGGAAAGGGATTAAGAGGTGGAAGAGTGCAGTTCAAGATCTCTGAAGGATAGTAATATTTTGGAAGTACTCTCGGTTAGTCTTTATTTGAAACTGTAATATTTTCGATCCTTATAAGATGCATATTGAATTTAATTAATTACCTCTAAAAAGGACTTACATGCAGTTTATTTCAGCTTATGAAAATAATTGCGTAAAAAACACCTCAAACCATCTTCACCATATGCATATAAATGCCAAATCATCAGAAAAAGTCTAATAGACGCAAACGAGAAACATCACATGCAAAATATTGTTGTTTTATTACCAAAGTTTCCATGCAAAATTATAGTCACATTGTCGCATACACCTGTCGTCTCTTCCTTCAATACCCACTAATATATTAATAACAAACAACGAACTTTCTCTCCTCAAATCAATTTTTTTTTATGAAAAAACAAAAACGCTTTTCGCCAAAATACCACTCATAACATGACAAAACTCATAATTAATGAGATGACATAATCAATTACGATCTTTTAACATCTACTTCACCTTACACCGGATCAGGATCTTCTACGGTTCAAGTTGAACCGCATCGATCTCAACTATTCATATATACTTTAACTTATAAAAAAATTAATTAAAAAATTTGTATGGTGAAATTAAATGCATGAGATATAGTTTCTTTTTCAACTGTTGATGATCCTAATCCTTTTACACTTCGGTCTACATCTTTGGAGAAAGAAAGAAAATATCTTTCCATGTTAAAGATAAGAGAGAGTCACACACACAAATAATCAAATTTTCCATTAATTATAATTCATATTAATCATGATAGATTTTATTTTATAAAACTTATGTTTTTGTCCCTTTAACATAATATGGCAGAAAGTATTCAAATTCCTTTACCTCTTCTATCTACGAGTAAAAAAGTGCAACGAAAATTTTTATAATGCAATCAAAATTGATAATAATAGCATTAATTAAAAGACGTGTTGTATATATACAAAATATATTCTTGTTAAATTTTTTATTTATTTCCACAAATCAAATTTTATCATCCATTTTGAAATAAATAATACATAGACTTATATATTCATTTTCATTTTTGATAAATAAAAAATTAGATTAAAGTAAGACACAACTCTAAGTTTGTTATAAAAAAAAAAAAAAAAACTAAATTCAATTCCAAATTTTAATTAATAAAAAAAACTTAAAGTCATTTAATTATACACATATCTTTTTACTCAATACACGTTTATATACTGCAAAATTGTTCACTTTTATATTAAATGTCGTAAAACTCATAAAGTTGATAATGCAAAAAAATTTGTATATTAATATTTGTATTTTCATTTTTTTTACTTTTAATTACAAGAACGTCCCATTATTTTTAATTTGTATATATTTTCAAATAATTTTACAAGAAACGTAAAAAAAAAAAAAAAAAATCCATCTATTTCCTATAGTAATTCTTGATAATAGATTGAAAATAATGTAACAATCGTATAATTTAAAACAAAAGAAACACGTACTTATTTTTCTAATAACATCATTATTCTCTTTTATTTTCCTGTCCTATTTATGATTCTCAATTTTTTCTACAATTTTATTATCCAAAAAAATAATAATTTCTTCACCACTCAAACATACATCTCCCTCGTTCTAAATTTCTTTCAATCATCGCATCACTTTAACATTAATGGTACCAACTTCCTTTTCTTGTACGTATTTCTCGGTGTTTAATTAACACCCCATAGAATTAATATTCTTATGCAAAATTAATTTCTCTAAAATCAATAAGACTAAAATTTGGTCATAATTAAAATTAATATTTTATCCCAATAATGAAATTCACATTAAATATAAATATATATTATTAAACTAAAACTTCAATTATAATTATGATAAGAAAACATTAATAATAATAATAATAATAATAATAATAAATTATTACCTGTGGAAGAGGGAGAATAACGAACAAGTCAAAGAAGAATCCGGTCCGCGACTTAAGATAGCCAAGCGCGACGGAGCGCGGCCTGGTGTCTCGGAGGCCGGCGGAGGAGGCACCGGCGGCGCCGAGGCCGAAGGTGCGCTTGGCCATCTTGATTCGGAGGAGCATATTCCAGAGGTGCAGCGCGTCCGTCATGCACCTGAGCGCCGTGACGGTAACGGCGAGCCAGCCGTCGACGAAGAGGCACATGCAGGAGTCGCTAACGGAGAGCGCGTAGAAGAACAGAGGGTCCACGAACAGCCCCGCGGCGCACACTAGCAGGAACACCCTGTTCCATTCCTGGACCCACTTCGACCGAGGGTCCACCACCCTCCCCAGCAACCCTCCCTCCCTCCTCCGCCCCCCTCCTCCGCCACCGCACGCCGCCCCCATCAACCACCCCCCGCCGCCGGAGCCGTTCTCGTTCTCCTCCTCTTCCTCTCCATCCTCCTCCTCCTCCTCCTCATCCGAGGTGGAATCAAGCACGTGGGAGGCACGTGATGAGGAGAAGTCTTCCTCTGTTATGGTAGTAGCCATAGTTGAGAAAAAATGAAAGGGGATTTACAATTTGAATGTTTGGGCGAGGAATGCGTGAGTGGAAGTGAAATTAATAGGTAGAGAGGAGAAGGATTGTATTGGATGAGTAATTGAGTATGAAATATTGTGACAATATGTGAGAAGTGAAGTTGGTCTTATAGTGTAGCCATGCTTGATGCTTGGTTGTTCCTAAGAGACCCACACATTACACCAACATTACGTGCAAATTTAATCATTATGTATTTTGATTATATCGCATTTCAAACATTTCTTCCATCTCTCTCCTTGTCCTATCAAATTTCATACATCATCTCTCTAATAATGCATACTTTCGAATGCAATCGGAATAATACAAATAAAAGATGTATATATGCTTAATTGTTTTTTTCTTCTTCTTATAATATTTAAGTTTTGTAAAATTTAAAATTTTGGTTCTGTTATTAAATGTTAAATTTGTAATGTTAATGATCATGATATGGGATTAAATAAATGACATGATGATTGGTTTTTATTAATATTTAATTTAAATTCTACTTTTAATTTTTTTTACTCTTATTTTATTCTTTTTTATTATTATTTTTACAAGATAAAAATGAAAACTAAAATTTTAATTTAATTTAAATTTTTTTAATATTATCTATCATGTGATCTTCTACTTGATGGAAAACGAATAATATGAATGATCAACATTACATTAAATTTAATGATTACCAAATAAATATTTAGTGATGTGACTAAATTTAGTTATTTTATAAAATTGTGAACTAAATATGTAAAATTAGAAAATGGATGATCAAAATCCCTGGTTGGATATTGTATGTTCTTTTGGATGGATAGAAATAAGAAGGAAAAAAGTGAAGAACTTATTGTTTATTTGGATGAGTAGAAAAGAGTAAAAAAAAAATTCAAAAAAAATAAACAAGGTTATACTAAAAATACTTTCACACTAATTAAAAAATATTTTATTGCTTTATTAATATAAACTATTTATCATCTTAAAATTTATTTATAAAAAATATTTATTTTTAATTTTCTAAGAAATTAAGAAGAAAAAAGATATAAAAAAAATGCTTACCATGTTATTTTTCATCATAAAATTAATATATTTTTTATCTATCAAAATTATAATAACAACATCTCAACAAACTTAAAATCCTGTACAATTATCACAACCTATTTATGTCAAAGAAATGTATTTAATAAAATAAAACCTTAAAAACATGAATAGAAACTTCTTTTTTTTCCTACAGGGAAACATGTATAGATACTTTAAAAATAATATTGCACTGCGTTCATAGTTTGCAATAATTTAACTGACATCCGTTGCATTTCATGACTAAAAAAATGAGAGCAAACAAATTCTGGTGGGACACACAAAGTTACTCTTTCC